TACATTCATCCACATAAAGAGCACAGAGTATTGTCTCCGACTGAATTATGAATGGCAGAGCAGGTACTAGTGCTGATGAGTGCCAGGTGGAAGCTGATACTAGAAAAATAAAATTAGGTTGTATTTCAAATGTTGTATTTATAAGTGGGAGTGACTTCCCATGAGAAAACATAGACTGAAATTGTTTTGGCCTTGGTCTGCAAATTTGTGGAGAGGAAGACTTTCAGGAAAGAGATGTATTAAGGAAATGATCCAGAAGAAGGTGAATACTGACTTTTGGGAAGCTGGAGGAGTCCAGTAGGAGAAGGGCTTCAGGAGACCCCAGCTGACAGTAGTTTTGTTGTCTGAACCGTGCTTTTAACATTAAATTTCAACCACAGCTGATTGAAGCTTTGGTAGTTTGCCAGTTGTAGACTTAATCTGGTTTGCAGAAGGGTGAGGGAAATGGTGAGGTGCAGCTGAGATCAGATTGGCCCTGTTGTAGGTTTTCAAATAAAATACAAATGCAGAATAACACAAAGTAGCTAATGTTACTCTTGACACTTTATTTTTTTTTCCCCTGTTTGGTAATATTTGTTGTTTTTTGAAGATGGGGCTTCCTAAGGTATAGTCATCTTCCCTTTCTTTAAAATTAGTTAGTTTAATAGGTTCACTAGTTTGCAGTTTCTTGGTTGTTTCTGAGCTATGGTTCTTTCTCTTGCTTAAAAAAATCCTTATCTTAGCATTTCTCCTTGTCAAGACAAAATGTGGTAACTCAGCTGTTTCATCCTTTAATTGCAGAGAGTTGCTGATTTGCATAGCCTGAGTTTGAGAGACAACAGTCTCCACCATATGTAAATAGGTTCAGTTTGGTGTATGTGTCTAGCCAGCATTGTAAAGGATGCTACATCTTTCTGTCAAACTAATTTTGTCTTTAGAAGCTAATCAAGGAAACCAGATGAAATTCCATAAAGTTGTCAGTTTTGCTTTTGCACCATGTAATAGATACATATATTGCTTTTGGTTTTCTATTTCTCTAAGTACAGTGAGCAGCAGTCACAATTTCTCTGGATTTTGCATAATACTTGGCCTATCCCATTTATGATCAGAAGAGCAAATAGTGAATGATAGATTATCGATCAGATGTAAGATGAAAGGCCAAATTGTCCCCATACTTCAATTAATGTAAAAGCCCTGGAAGTAAGACAAAACTACGTTGTTCTCAGTATACATACCACTTTCCAAAAGCATCTACATAATTTCAGAATCCTTTATAAAAGGGAGGCCTCCAAAATTAGCAGCCAGAGCAAGATGACATTGCACAGGAACAGTAAGAGAAGTGTACTAACAGAGGCATTTCAGATACCATAGTACACAGCACATGGCCATGCAGTCTAATTGGAATACTAATGGAAAGACTGTAAAATTAGAAATTACATCTATTCACTTGGTCAAAGCAATCTCATATACTGGGGATCTTACAGAAGGAACATCATAGTAATTTTAAAATAAGTGTGTCCAGTCACTTCTCCTTGCAGGAGTTCCATTAGATATAATGGAATTAATTCAACCACTTCTCAGACCTGCTATCTAATAATATAGTGGTGGTTTGAAAGAGAAGGCTAAACTTGAAATAAAAAATAAAATAATTCTGGCCTCTTCAGCTCGTGAAGTAGAAACTTTGGGCAGTGCAGATGAAGGTTTTTCCTATATATTTTGACAGTTAAATGGATCATAACATATTTGTGTACAGCTGGATCTGAGAGCAAGATAAAAAATAACCTTGCTTACTTAGGATTTGACTGCTGAGTAGAAATACACAGACTTATTTGTGCAACCTGCATGTGGGTGATGATTAAAATATGAAGAGAGGGTAATGATCAGGGTGTGGCATCTTAAATGTGCAATATGAGAAATCTTAAAAATCACACCAGAAAGAAGGGTAAAGTTGGTGCAGCAGAAATCTGCTCTTTTTTGGACAAGTTCACTTTTCTTAACAGACTACTTCTTCACACGAACTTTCCATGTAGAGGTGAATGTTTATTTGAGATGAAATTATAAAAATTCTTTAACTGTTTTGCAAATTGCAAAAAGTCCTGTGCTTTCTGAGCGTACTACTAGCCTGGTATAATGAGTTTAAGAACAAGGATGTATTAAGCAGACAGCCTTCAAATTTACCATTAATTAAATACATGGCCCTTTCATTAATTGTGTCTGCTTCAGTGACTTGTATAAAGATTTTGGTAGGAGATGAAGTTTTCTATCAAAGGTTCTGAGATGTGTGCAAGTGAAGTATTGGAAATCTGATGACATTAAAACAATGGTTAGCTTCAAGAAATGTCCTGGAAGATCACCACTTCAGCAACTCAGGATTACAGTGCAATTAATCTTTGTGGTTCGACAGTAAAATCCTTACTCACATTCCTTCAGAGTCTTCTTTTTGTCTATAACTGATTTCCAGAAGCCAGTGTCAGTGCATACATACTGAGCTTTTCTTAAAGGGTCTTTGCATTCTTTGAAGGATAGCGATGGTTTGTGAGTTAAGTACCATATTAAATCCAGAAAGGCAAGATGTAGGATTCTGGAGACAAAATATTCAGTTCATATATCACTTAGTTTACTTCAAGTGATTCAAAATTAAAAAGTAATTTAATTCAGTCCTTACAGGAAACACAAGTGTCTGGGGTATGTGATTAACTCATTTAATTGTCTAATACCTCCCTCTTTACAGCTTCAACTTTCCCACATCAAAGAAAAGTTCTTGGTGAGTGCTGAGGCTCCGGGTTGAAATGGAAAGAACCCGAACTTCTGAAGAAAGTTCTCAAGTAAAATACTGTTTATAGGAGTTTCAGCTAGCTCAGGCTCCAGGCAAGAGAAGGTGCCCTTATCACTCCCTTTTAATCATCCTTTCTTCAGTCAGATCAGATCAGCCTTTCTTAAATCAGATCAGTTCTCTACAAGCAGTTTAGTGCATTGGATTTAGTTAAGTTAGACTTATCTATTTAATGTAGACTTCTTACACAGGTAGCCTGCTTAGCAGGTGAACATCTGTATTGTCTAGTTAGTTCAGATTTCTAGAGGATTTAAATGTAAATCCATCTCCCCAGGTTTACCATATATCATGGTATAATAAAAGGAAATGCACAGAAATGTCACCAGTTAAAGTTGAAGTGAATACCTGTTTCCAGTTACTTCATTCTTCTTGCTGGATTCAGTGAGACAATGACTGAACACTCAGAAGCAGAAATATCAGATTAATTTTCGAAAAAGAAATTTAGCTGCCTTTTTTTTTTTTTTTTTTTTTTTTTTTTTTTCCCTTTGCAGTTTCTTTCAGAAAGAAGAATAGACCAATATTGGGAGAGCAGTGAGTGAGGAGGAACTGCAGAGTTTTAGTACAGTTGGAATACACTTGGAAAAATGTTATGTTCTAAACAGTGCAAGACAGCAAGATAACTTTTTCGGTTTGCAGTCTTAACACATGATGCCAGGTCTGAGTTTTCAATAGGCAGATGTGTGGGATGGCTTCACTTTGTCTGCCCCTTTGAAATATGCTCATGTGTATAAAATAACTACACAGGTACACATGTATATACTACATGAATTATATATTAATCAGAGAAATTATGTGAATGAAATTATATCCTCAATTTTTAGAGGGGGAGGTGCAGAATAGATTTTAGAGGAGAAAGTTAAATGCCAGAGGGTAAGTGGACAAGCATTGCAGCAAGTCTGTGAGGTTTTTTTGGAGTCTGTACCTTTACAACTGATGAAACACTGAGTAAATCTCTGCAATGTGTCTAGATACCTTTCCTTAATCAGAGTGCCTTGAAAATTGAAAAGCATGAAGTAATATTTCTAGTAAGTAACCTAGTACTGTTTTCTTCTGCAAAGGCAGTTTACTAGAATTTAAAGTTCATAGAAAACAGGGAGTAACTTCCTCCCTCCTACATAAACTGAAATCTGAACATTTAAAGTGGAAAAGTACAAAAACTAGGTGAAGGAGAAAAGCCTGCAAGCCCTTTGGAAGAAAATCCCGTAGCTCCACCATGCATTGATTTATATTAAATATAACTATAGTGTATAGAACACATGAAAGTCAAACGCCTTATTTACATGCCCAAAAGTTTAGAAGATTGACTGCTGGGTACCATATTTCTACAGAAACACAAAAATATATTACGTAGTATTACATGAGGAGACAAGATACTTCAGTAGATCAGCTTTTCAGCTGAATGCGTCTTGAGTGGACTGAATGTTGTGTGTTGGGGTAAAATTGGAATTGGTTTGATAAAGAATAAGAGAATTTAGTGATCATGAGACTCAGATTCTTCGTGTAGGTTTGAATTTAAAAATGCAGAGAAGAATGTGCTTTGAGTTTTGAGATAGATAATGGCTGATCTATACTGCTCAGTACAACAAACCTAGTCTCTATCATTGGTAAAGACTGGGCCAGCTTGGGAAGAGTCGTCACTGTAATAGTGAAAGATCATCTGCTTCCTAGTGAATACACATCATGATTACATTTTTATCATGAACGTGTAACTGACTCATTTGAATGTTACCTCCCATTTTACAATAACCTGCATTTAGGCTGAAGTAGGAAAACTCTTGATATGACATTCTGATTAACAACTCCTCATACAGTATCTGAGAAGAGATGGTGTGAGGTGATGTATTGTGGGGCTTGTGATCTGAGAGCACTTCTTGTGTGAGTGTTGAATCAGCTGCAAGGAAGTACTTAGATATGTGAATTTAGAGAATACCTTCTGTCCAAGTGGATGAAATGGAAAGTTAGACAGGATGAGGATAATGGAGACAATATTTTGTTAACGTGAGGAAGAGAAGGAAATGCTTTAAAATGCTCTTAAGTTTACTTACGTTGGCTTTCCCTATGTCTTCTGTGTTTTGCCATTTACAGCTGTTGGAGCTTAATACCTGCATGTATATAAAAAAATACAAAGCTAAACAAAACTGTACAGAAAAGTATCAGGGAATAAAACTATGCTTGTTTGTTTCAACAGAATGCTGAAATTTCAGTATTTGAAGTGAACATTCGTTTTGTCGGTGGACTGCTTTCAGCTTACTATCTTTCAGGAGAAGAGGTAAGCTATTGCCACGTGGATTATCTGAAATGTCATCTAGATAAGTAGTTAACTTTTAGTTTAACATTTTATTTATCTGAATTAAACTTGCTTAGAACTTTGAAAATGACTTGTACAGCAGAGATCTGTTCAGTGGGTTTTCTTGCTTCTATTACTGTTGTTTTGTATAAGTCATAAAGCTATAACTTCGTGTGTTATTCCCCCCCCGAGTTGAAACCATACCCAGTACATTCTTACCGGGCTTGGTGCTGGAGTGTGTTATTATGGAGTTGATATGCCTTCGTAATGGTAGATTTGGTACGTCAGGTTCCTGCTTCATGAATTGGTTTCAGGCATATCCTTTAACTGTTATAAACTGTACTTCTGCTTGCCTTCCTGAAACTGAAACTTCAACTCACATGGAAAAGACATGTCAAGAACAAAAAGATAACTGGTAAACCTATACCTGTGAATGTCTTTAAATCATTGATATCCCATTAATCTCTATTGCCTGTCATGGTTTCTGGAGAGGATGAAGAAGCAATTTCATCTAAGAGCTTTGACTAAGGCAATTATTTCTGTAATATATTTGGAGCAGGCTATTCCAAGTCACAGGTACTGTGATACTTTAAATTTTTAGCTTGGTGCTTGAGAAGTCTTTAATCTTACTAGTTTAAATACTTGTTCCCGTCTCTGGATTATGGTGGTATTTTATTGTAGGATTAACACAAGTTAATACTCTTTAATCGTAAATTGAATTTATCATTGGATTTCTTTAAATCCAAAGCAAATACTGGTGGAAACACCACAAAACCACAGAGATGTATAATTTTTTTCGTATGTTAATTTCCCAAATACTGGGTGAAGCTCTGTTTTGAACCTGTCACTTTAACTTAAATTCTATGGTTGTTTTTTGTCATAATTTATCACTGTGTTAAAGCTGTCTTAGCAGGTGCTATTGGGTCATGTACCTGACAAAGCAGTTATAAGGAGACAATGTTCCTCTGGCATTTTTACATCTTAAGTAGATTTACCTGTTTATTTTCCATGGTTCTGTCCTGACTGTAGGTGATATTGAAAAGACATTAATGTTTTAAATATACACGTTTTGTATTTTAACTGTCAAGCAGCAGTTGTCTGCCCAGAAGGGCCTGAACCGTTTCTCATCGGTGCTGTTGATTTCATATATATGTTGATGGTGTAGATCTTGTGTCTGTTAAACTTGTACAAATGAAATAAGGAAACATTTAAAACAAAAGAAGGTGCTGCACACAATGGATAATTAAGTGGAACTCTTTTCAGTGGAATATTTGCGGTACTGGATGCTAATGTCCATTCTAAAATTGGATGGACTCATTAACGAGAGTAAAATGGGTTCCTAAATGCAAAGATGATGTGTGTGACTAACGAGGGTCCTGAGCTCTTGCAGGCTGGGAAAGACACTGTCCCATACCAGTTTTCATACCGTTTGCTAGATATCTGCTGTCCGAGACAGAACGGTGTTCCTAAACTGTCAGTTGTCCTAGTGTCTTAGGGAGTGTGACTCAGCATGCTCTGCCTTTGTCAGATTTGGGGAAACTTCCCCATTTTTCTCCTAAATCCCCAGGCGCTGAAGCAATAGCCAGCTGCTGCCTGTGGGAAGAGCAGGATGTGGCCCTTCTGGGGACGGAGCAGCTGTGCAGCAGCGTGAGGCTTCCCGTGCTGCGTGGGTCTGCCCTTCGCTGGTGCTGCTGACAGCTGTGGAAAGGACTGAGGGCCCCAGAGGCTGGCTGCTGCCATAGAAAATATATCTTTAATCATGCATTAATCCATTATATTAGTGGGCGTTCCTAAGGAGGTGCAACAACCTGTACACAGGCTGTTTGGAGGATTAACCTTTTTCAGTTAAAAGCTCATTTAATTCTTAATCAGATTAACTATTTAAAAATCTTACATTTGCTGTGTTCACTTATCAATATCCTAATTAAAGAAAGCTGCGTTTCAGTAAAAGGAGAGACTGAAATAATTATTGTTTGTACTTCTGAATTACATTTCCATGGGTAATGACCCAAAGCTGCAACATATTGTATGTTCCATAATCATTTGTAAGTCTAACTAATCATGATTAAAGAACATCCTATCATACTGAGTAGTCTCTAAAATATCCTGCTCACATAACAGTTCATTTAGATAAAGGCACCAATATGAATCCTAAAAATGAACAAATTGAATACTTCGCCTCTTGGTAACTGTGTGTGGTGCTCACTTTCAAATAGAGTTATGAGATGTACTCTATTAAACTTCCTACAATTTCTACCTTACTAGAATTAACATGAAATATCTAAAAGTGCTCAAAGAGCATCATACACTGTTAAGTAACATTTTTATGTATTATCAAACTTCATTTTTAAAACAGGTACAAATACCAGAGAACTTTATTTCAAGATGAGTAACTTTTTAAGGACTGCTCTTTTTTTTTTTTTTTTTTTTTTTTAAGTTCCTCATAGTAATATTACATATAAATGCTTCTGTGATACTTTTTGACGAATCAGTGGATATAAGAGATTACTAAAAATAAACCTGGCTCCTCTAAACCACTGCTAGTATTGATTTTTTTGTTTGTTTGATTATATGAAAGCATCTGGGGGAGCCTCTAATATGGTAAGTTTAACCCATAGGAACAGGGCAGATCTTTTTTGCAGACTTTCTTGATTGTTTTGTTTAAATTAAATTCGAATTCATTAATAGACATGATTCCTCTTCTAAGCAACTTGGTATGTCACCTTTTTTGATTCTGTACTGGAAAATAAGATGTCTAGTAAGGAAAACAACTGCTTTGCTGTACTTACTAGTCTGATGTAAAATTCTGGTACACCAAGGGTCACGAGTATTGCATGCAATGAGATCCCCTGTTCTGCAGACCCAGATAATTTTTTTTCTTGATTGAAGTACACTTCCAAATGTAGTTATATAAGGAGATAATTTGTTTGCTTTTGGAGGAGGACAACACTGTATTCTCTTACAGCAGCTATAACTTTCTTGGAATTCATGGCGATGACAAACATTATTTCTGAGCACTGTAATCTTCACTGTTGGGAATAACTGTGATACTGGTGCTGAAAGTCATAGCAGGTGTATGGCACTGCTGGTAGAGAATATACAAGTCTACATACTGATCTGATTAGCTCTTCTGGTTTACTAATAGCTGGTTCTTATAGGTACAGCAAAAGCTGTGTAACAAGGTGATTGTTTTACCTGAAAGTTGGTTCCACAGCGAGGGCATACATTGCATAGGCAGAAATAAAAGGAACTTTTAATAATTGCTGTTTGTATGAGTAGCGAAAAAGTAAATCCAAAATGCTCTGAAGTGAATAAGGAACACATGAGTTTCAGATCCAGCTGGTAAGTTCCAGGACTTCTTTAAAGCTTTTCCATTTTTTGAATGGGATGAGTAATTTATTTTCCCCAGAGTTAAAATATTTTGGATGCAGCAGCTGTTCTTCCTGCATAATATAACCTTCTCTTTTCTAGGACTAAAGATAGTCATCTTCACTGGAGGAAGACAAAATAAAGTTGATAATGATGTTCATATTGCCATTTCTCTCCATGTCATAAAGCAGAAATGTGACAGATTTTAATTCTTTTTTTTTTTCTGGCAGTATATCCTGTTTGAAGGAACATGAATTTATCCTGATCAGGATGAAGGAATAAAAAAAACCACAACAAACTGTTATTCGTGATGATAAATGTTGGACTTCCCGAGTTTCATCTGTTACTCTCTACCAACTGTTAATTAGAAGTGAAAAAAAAAAAAAGGGAAAAAAAAGTTATGACATATCACCTAATTAGTTTATATCTGCATTCAGAATAGGAGTTACAGTGCCACTACTCAACCTCACTTGATCATGGCCTCCCATCTGACTTCAGACCTAATCATTGCCCACTTAAAACAACCATCCATCAGTGCTGGCTTATTAATGAGAAGCAGACATGAAATAATGATGCAGATGCTAATGATCTAGAGCTGCCTTTGCCAGGTTGACCACAAAACATTGCTGGCTTCATATCGTACTAAGACGTTCTCCAGAATTTAGCTGTAGCTGGTTTTATGTGGGCTCTCCCTTCTCTCGTAGAGGTTCTTCCTTCATAGAGAATATTTAAATTCCGTTAATAAAAAAAAAAAAAAAAAATCATCATTTAGCAATCTTGAATAGTAGGAGGGTGAAGTTTGTCACTTACACAAAGGTATTGACCTATTTCTGCAAATTGGGAATGTTCCAGTATAGACATCTTAGGGATCTTATCTCACCCGTGTGAAAATTGACCGCATGTTTTATCTCCCTCTTCTTTTCACTTAACTTGATGCTAATTAACAAGAGGACTTTCCCTTTTATCACTTGGTAGCTTGATTTCTAATGCTGTTTGAAACTCCAGGCATACTGCATCAAGCTTGATCACTTCTGTGTGAATGCCACTCAGCTCCTCCTTAAGCATCTTCACAGACTGGCAGTAGAATTCCCTGTTTGGTAGAAATTGGAAGACTGCAATTGCCTGTAGTTTTCTGCAGTCCTGTTTTCAGATTTGGGACCTGTTTGCCACCTACCATCCATCTGCTGCCATTTGAAGTGATACATCAGTGCTTCATTGGTGTCATGTTTTAGTTCCTTTAGAGCTCTGAAATGATCTTGATGATTTGTTTAATTTTACTAATTTATGATTTTTTTTTAACTTCTGTATTTCATAGATTCCTGGAGTCATTCAGCTTGGAAGGTACTTCAAGAGGTCATCTAGACCAGGCTCAATATTAGGACACAGTGCATTAGGCTTGACTTTTTAAGAATCTCCTTTCATGGGAGATTCTTCTTGCCTAGGCACTTCAAGACTGAGCACTGGTGCAAATTCAGCTTTTCTGCAATGGCTTTGTTTTCACTGTGCTCTTTTACACAGACATCTCTTAATGTTCCTCCAGGCTCTCTAGCAGGCCTCATGTTTCTCTTCTTTTGTTTTTTTTTAATTTTAAAAACTTGTTCTTCAGAAATTAC